TTCCCCAAAACGAAGTCACCGTCTTGCCAACAGACACTGGCTGTTTTGAACGGGAGTGGAGAATCAGAGTGTTTCTAATGTGCTTTGAATCATTGATTCAGGTTCAAAGTGGTGAACACAGGTTTCTTCTTGAGTTACTAATCTGCGGTAGAAATTCTCAGGGTCAGCCTGGAAGTGAGTCAAAAATGTTCTGGCAATATCAACACTTTCCAGCTTTTGTTTTGGGATCCATTTTGCAGGCAGCTTGCTTATCCCCAAGATTTCAGTTAAAAGAGTATGGACCGAACAAGAAGTAATGTCTGCTGGACAGTAAGACTTCTGTCATCATACGATGAATGGCAACCTGAGCAGTGTGAACAGGCGTGTTATCCTGGAGCAAGAGCCCACCTGTCCTGAGATTACCTCTGGATTTCAATTACTTCTTTCAATTGTCTTAATTCTGACAGATAGTACTGAACATTAATAGATTTTTTTTTCCTTTTCCACTTATGAATACGCCTTCAGAAAATCATTAAATATGTCATGTATGAATGAAAAGTGTCAGTGCTGACACCAGAATTTAAAACGTGAATCTCTAGATAATGAAGATGTAGACCGCCATTTGCTATAAATAGTGATATCATATTACTGACACTTGTCAATTAAATGTTTGACTATTGTCTTAATCCGGATATTAAAGTCGAGAGTCCCGTGTTTCAAGACGAATTAGTACTTTTTTTCTTAGCAGCTCTACGAAGTCGTGTATTAACTGATAAGTAATCAATAATCTTTCCGTTAACTCTTGAATTCTTTGTTGGCAATGTATTTAATCCCGTTTGGTAATTAAATATTTTTTAAATAATTTTACATTGAGGTCTTTCTGGTTTTACTTGTATTATATACGTGTGACGAATTACGAAACAAATAAGGGACTGGAATGGAGAGGCTATAAAACCCGTAAGGCTCAGTATAACATCTGAATCTTTCAATCGTTTGATCTGAATTTTTCTCTCTCTTTTTCTCTCTCTCTCTCTCTCTCTCTCTCTCTCTCTCTCTCTCTATATATATATATATATATATATATATATATATATACCATTAACCCATTCTCAGAATATCGTTGCCATATATTTGGAGATTATTGATAAAATCCATAGAAGAATCAGTAATATTATTGTCAGTCCTGACCTGGCTCAAGGCTCCAGTGACTTTTCCACTACGATAAGGTTGCTTCCCTGTGCCATTTCTATAAATGCTTTCATGGTAATTGTTCGCATGAGCTCTTCGCTATGGTACCTAGACTTTATGAATTTAAGCACAATGCCAGATTGGCAACAAGGTTTCAGCAATTTCGAATGTTATTGGCTAGATGTAATCATAAGTTGTATGTTAACCGTTTATTTTCTCGCACTTCACGCTTGTGGAATTCGCTTCCGGCTCAAAAAATTAAATATTATGTCAATCTTTATGTATTGTGCGCTGACATAAGTGTACATATTCGTCCTTTGACAGGATTCGGAACCATCATTTACGCTGACGTGCCTTAACCGACTCGGCCACAAAGGAGCGTTCGGTAGGTAAGGTCAAATTTACTACCGAACGCTTCTTTGTGGCCGAGGATTCGTTAAGGCACGTCAGCGTAAATGACGGTTCCGTATAGGATGCAGGTTCGAATCCTGTCAAAGGACGAATATTTTCTATGAAAATTTCTCGGACATTCAGGCCGGTAAATGTTATTTAATACTGCTTATTATAAACAGAGCATTTACTTAAATACTTGTAAAAAGAATGTTAAACATAAAAATGTCTTTAATAAATTGTCGGACTTTGTCCAATTCTTAATGTGTGTGTATATATATATATATATATATATATATAACTTTGAAGATTACGGAACGCATTCTTTCAAAGGGACATTTTCTTCTGACATATCTTCAGAAATATTCGTTGGGTCGTTGGGACGATTATAATCAAAACAGAACGAAGAACAGTTCTCCTCCTGCCTGCTGGTCTCACTCTCTTTATATATATATATATATATATATATATATATATATATATATATATGTGTGTGTGTGTGTGTGTGTGTGTGTGTGTGTGCTATTTATGCACGTTCACATTTCTGGATCGCTTTCGATTTTACACACATGTTGCAAATTTTACCAAGCTAGGTTAAGACCAATCTCGAGAACCCCGGGTCTAGCAGAAAAGCTGATAAAACTGAAGGTGGGTACGACTTTTTGGAAAAACCAAGGCAAAGTTACACACGAACAAAATGTTTACTGTCCGAGCTGCTGTTCTTTGTACTTAATACAAAACATAGCTCATGTTACGAGGTTTATGTAGAGTGATTAATAGTTTTCCTCTGACATTAGCTTCACACGAAAAATTGCAAAAGACTGTGAAAAAAATCGGGTTTTTCGTATTACTTAAAATAAAAAAAAATCTTGAATAACCCCCTTCATTTTTTATTCGGTTTTCTTCAAACAGGTCGCAAAAATTTGGCATCAGGGAAAAAAATAAATTAGTGTTGTTTTAGTCAAAAATATTACTGAAAAAGCCTTTGTTCTATTCAGTTAGAAAAAGAACAATTTAAAATCGTTTTATATCATCCCCACTGCTTTCCCAAAGGAGCAATGGTGAGAGGAAAAAGATCATTTTGGCCTTCGGTAATGGTATCAACATTCAAGTTCATTCAAGAGCCACGAAGAGAAACGGGAATAATTTCCAAAAAGAGGGAACAGGAAAGAGGAAAATGTATCATGTCACAACGCGAAAAGGGATCAGCATTTCAACTTAAAGTAATCAATTAGAAAAGATCCAACTATACACACACACACACACACACACACACACACACACACATATATATATATATATATATATATATATATATATATATATATATTTATTAAAAGACATTTTTTTATGTTTAACGTTGTTATTTATAGATACAAGTATTTAAGCAAATGCTCTGTTTATGATAAACAGTATTAAATAACATTTACCGGCCTGAATGTCCGAGAAATTTTCATAGAAAATATTCGTTCTTTGACGGGATATTCTATGAAAATTTCTCGGACATTCAGGCCGGTAAATGTTATTTAATACTGTTTATCATAAACAGAGCATTTGCTTAAATACTTGTATCTATAAATAACAAAGTTAAACATAAAAAATGTCTTTAATAAATAAATTGTCGGACCTTGTCCATTTCTTAATATATATATATATATATATATATATATATATATATATATATGTGCGTGTGTGTGTGCGTGCGTGTGTGCATGGAGGAAGAAGTTTTATTTTCTATTTTGCAAGACTTTTTCCACACAAGATCAAATGTGAAGAAAGTCAGCAGGAAATTTATGTTTTGGTCCAATCTTCTCCAAACGATATCAGATTAACAGTAATAGTAAAGAAGAGGATTATGCTTTGCTAATCTTCCAGGTAGAGAGAGAGAGAGAGAGAGAGAGAGAGAAAGTGAGAGAGAGAGATAGATAGAGAGAGAGAGAGAGAGAGAGAGAGAGAGAGAAAGTGAGAGAGTGAGACTATGCCTTGAAAATTAATTTTATAAATCTAGGAATCATAATAAACGGTATTCAAATAACTTGAACCGATGTTAATGTGAATTAAGTTTAAGCGTCTAATATATATTCTTTTCATTTTCTTTCAGATTTGGAAGACATTTGGGCGATATTATTTTTTACACATAATTGCCATGACTTAAACAACATGACCCGATAGAGAAATAAATAAATTTTCCCCCAATAACAGTGATTCCTTTACTTCGATCCGTCTTAATGAAACACCCTTTATCAAGGACAATTATTGGTGTTGCGCCAAGAGTATTTAATCAAGGCCGGCAGCAGTTCAGATTATAGAGTCATTGTAAACTCCTCGATCCTTTCGATAGATTTATACAATATACATAGCTAGGCCTACATGAGGTTTTGAATTCGTAGTTTTCCTTCTCTTAAAGTGATTTCCAGCCGAGACTGAAGAACCCAATTCACCCTATTATTTAATCCATAGCTGGATCGGTTCATGTATACATACTTTCCCCAGGGTTGTTTTAATCGACTGGCGTGTGAACTTTACTCACCGACATTTCGTTTCTTGCCGTTACCCTTTACATCAACCGTTCATTCCATAAATGTGCGGTCCATATTCAAACAGTGTTAAATAATAAGGAAGAGGAAGGAACAAGATGTTGCACCGCTAATGTTAACAACCCGTGGTTTGTGAATAACTGCATTTAAAATGTATGGCTTCGTTTCCTTCTTCTTAGCCTGTGTTTCATTCTCCATTTCATTGGATCCTCGCTTCGATTACACGGTTACTAATTACTGATCGCAATTACATTCCTACCTGATTATTAAACTTAATCTCCTTAGGATATATAAAGCAAACACGAATACACCGGAAATCAGCAGACGGAAGCTTTCACAGCGCATTATTCTACCACGACGTACTTGATGACGTACAACTACAGTAACGAAAGTTAACAGTTTCCACACACTTTAATTTCGACAGGTACTCACAACCCGGCCTGTCTAATGGTGTTTGCATATATTCGACTACAAATTTGAAATTTGAGAAGTTCAGGAAATTGACAACCTTTCATCTGTTCTACGATTGTATAGCCGACAGGTATTAGATCTTTATCGCTAGTGATACCGTCTCCTGCTGTTTTCTTTCTATCTTCCCGCCACTGAGACTTTTTCGAAGGTAATACCGGCGGTGGAGTATTCGCTTCAATTTCCAAACCTTCTCTTCTCATAAGAAGCACCGTTCGCCCGGGGGACAACGGGTGACTCGTGCATTTGTGTTGACTTCGATGCCTGGAAGCTGGTAACCGTTGATTTGAAGGTTTTGGCAGATAGGAGCAGAGATGGCATCAATGGCAGCTGCTGTCATTTCAAAGACTGATTGAAACTAATTGGCAAATTGTTCTGTAACCAGGCGAAGCGTAATTAACTCTTGTATAATGATAACTTACTTAAGGACTGCAGGTCATGCTTCCAGGATTAGTATGTTTAAGAGAGAGAGGAAAGTGTATCGCAATCTCTTTCTTTCTTTCTTTTTTCATTTTCTTTTCTCATTTCTCATTTAACTCAGCCTATTATGACTTTCTCCTTACGAGCTTTCATTTCCTTTCTTTCTTTTTCTGTCCTTTTTTGTTTGTTTCTTTCTTTCTTTGTTCGTAGCCGTTGTCTTATCTGTGTTTTTTATTTCTAAAAGTTTTTCTTTCTTTCTTTCTTGTCTTAACATTTAGTTAGGTTTCTCTCTTTCTCGTTTTTTCTTCTTTTTAATTTTGTATTTCTTTTATTTTACTTCTAGATTTCACTCTTCCTGAATATTCTTTTACCCTTTCCGAATATGGCTTTTCTTTCTTTTTTTCTGTGATTTTTTTCTTTCTTTCTTTTTGAATGTTTCTCTCTTTCTTTCATTTTCTTTTTTAATCCCTGATTTAATTCAGCTTGTTATCGTTTCATTCTTACGAGCTTTCTTTTCCTTTCTCTCTTTTTCTATCCTTCTTTTTCTTTTTTTCGTTCTTTCTTTCTTTCTTTCTTCTTTTTATGCCTTGGTGTTTTCTTTTCTTTTCTTCTATCCTGCATTCAGTGATTCCGTAGGTTCGTCTTTCTTTTCTTTCTTTCTTTCTTTCTTTTCTTTCTTTCTTTCTTTCTTTCTTTCTTCTTTTTTATGCCTTGGTGTTTTTTTTTCTTTTCTTCTATCCTGCATTCAGTGATTCCGTAGGTTCGTCTTTTTCTTTCTTTCTTTCTTTCTTTCTTTCTTTCTTTCTTTCTTTCTTTTTTTTTTGTGCCTAGGTGTTTTCTTTTCTTTTTTTCCATCCTGCATTCAGTGATTCCGTAGGTTCGTCTTTCTTTCTTTCTTTCTTTCTTTCTTTCTTTCTTTCTTTCTTTCTTTCTTCTTTTTATGCCTAGGTGTTTTCTTTTCTTTTCTTCTATCCTGCATTCAGTGATTCCGTAGGTTCGTCTTTCTTTCTTTCTTTCTTTCTTTCTTTCTTTCTTTCTTTCTTTCTTCTTTTTATGCCTAGGTGTTTTCTTTTCTTTTCTTCTATCCTGCATTCAGTGATTCCGTAGGTTCGTCTTTCTTTCTTTCTTTCTTTCTTTCTTTCTTTCTTTCTTTCTTTCTTTCTTTCTTTCTTCTTTTTATGCCTAGGTGTTTTCTTTTCTTTTTTTCCATCCTGCATTCAGTGATTCCGTAGGTTCGTCTTTCTTTCTTTCTTTCTTTCTTTCTTTCTTTCTTTCTTTCTTTCTTTCTTTCTTCTTTTTTTATGCCGAGGTGTTTTTCTTTTCTTTTCTTCTATCCTGCATTCAGTGATTCCGTAGGTTCGTCTTTCTTTCTTTCTTTCTTTTCTTTCTTTCTTTCTTTCTTTCTTCTTTTTTTTCTGCCTTGGTGTTTTCTTTTCTTTTCTTCTATCCTGCATTCAGTGATTCCGTAGGTTCGTCTTTCTTTCTTTCTTTCTTTCTTTCTTTCTTTCTTTTTTTCTTTTTTTATGCCTAGGTGTTTTCTTTTCTTTTCTTCTATCCTGCATTCATTGATTCCGTAGGTTCGTCTTTCTTTCTTTCTTTTCTTTCTTTCTTTCTTTCTTTCTTTCTTTCTTTCTTCTTTTTATGCCTTGGTGTTTTCTTTTCTTTTCTTCTATCCTGCATTCAGTGATTCCGTAGGTTCGTCTTTCTTTCTTTCTTTCTTTCTTTCTTTCTTTCTTTCTTCTTTTTATGCCTAGGTGTTTTCTTTTCTTTTCTTCTATCCTGCATTCAGTGATTCCGTAGGTTCGTCTTTCTTTCTTTCTTTCTTTCTTTCTTTCTTTCTTTCTTTCTTTCTTTTTCTTTTTATGCCTAGGTGTTTTTTTTTTTTTTTTTCCATCCTGCATTCAGTGATTCCGTAGGTTCGTATTTCTTTCTTTCTTTTCTTTCTTTCTTTCTTTCTTTCTTTCTTTCTTTCTTTTTTTTTTATGCCTAGGTGTTTTCTTTTTCTTTCTTCTATCCTGCATTCAGTGATTCCGTAGGTTCGTCTTTCTTTCTTTCTTTTCTTTCTTTCTTTCTTTCTTTCTTTCTTCTTTTTTATGCCTAGGTGTTTTCTTTTCTTTCTTCTATCCTGCATTCAGTGATTCCGTAGGTTCGTCTTTCTTTCTTTCTTTCTTTCTTTCTTTCTTTCTTTCTTTCTTTCTTTCTTTCTTTTTTTATGCCTAGGTGTTTTCTTTTCTTTTTTTTTCCATCCTGCATTCAGTGATTCCGTAGGTTCGTCTTTCTTTCTTTCTTTCTTTCTTTCTTTCTTTCTTTCTTTCTTTTTCTTTCTTTCTTTCTTCTTTTTTTATGCCTAGGTGTTTTCTTTTCTTTTCTTCTATCCTGCATTCAGTGATTCCGTAGGTTCGTCTTTCTTTCTTTCTTTCTTTCTTTTTCTTTCTTTCTTTCTTTCTTCTTTTTTTTATGCCTTGGTGTTTTTTTCTTTTCTTTTCTTCTATCCTGCATTCAGTGATTCCGTAGGTTCGTCTTTCTTTCTTTCTTTCTTTCTTTCTTTCTTTCTTTTCTTTCTTTCTTCTTTTTTATGCCTAGGTGTTTTCTTTTTCTTTTCTTCTATCCTGCATTCATTGATTCCGTAGGTTCGTCTTTCTTTCTTTCTTTCTTTCTTTTTTCTTTCTTTCTTTCTTTCTTTCTTTCTTTTTTATGCCTTGGTGTTTTCTTTTCTTTTCTTCTATCCTGCATTCAGTGATTCCGTAGGTTCGTCTTTCTTTCTTTTCTTTTTTCTTTCTTTCTTTCTTTCTTTTTTCTTTTCTTCTTTTTTTATGCCTAGGTGTTTTCTTTTCTTTTCTTCTATCCTGCATTCATTGATTCCGTAGGTTCGTCTTTCTTTCTTTCTTTCTTTCTTTCTTTCTTTCTTTCTTTCTTTTCTTTCTTTTTTCTTTCTTTTTTATGCCTTGGTGTTTTCTTTTCTTTTCTTCTATCCTGCATTCAGTGATTCCGTAGGTTCGTCTTTCTTTCTTTCTTTCTTTCTTTCTTTCTTTCTTTCTTTTCTTTCTTCTTTTTATGCCTAGGTGTTTTCTTTTCTTTTTTCTTCTATCCTGCATTCAGTGATTCCGTAGGTTCGTCTTTTCTTTTCTTTCTTTCTTTCTTTCTTTCTTTCTTTCTTTCTTTCTTTCTTTCTTTCTTCTTTTATGCCTAGGTGTTTTCTTTTCTTTTTTCCATCCTGCATTCAGTGATTCCGTAGGTTCGTATTTCTTTCTTTCTTTTCTTTCTTTCTTTCTTTCTTTCTTTCTTTCTTTCTTTTCTTTCTTTCTTTTTTTATGCCTAGGTGTTTTTTTTTTCTTTTCTTCTATCCTGCATTCAGTGATTCCGTAGGTTCGTCTTTCTTTCTTTCTTTCTTTCTTTCTTTTCTTTCTTTCTTTCTTCTTTTTATGCCTTGGTGTTTTCTTTTCTTTTCTTCTATCCTGCATTCAGTGATTCCGTAGGTTCGTCTTTCTTTCTTTCTTTCTTTCTTTCTTTCTTTCTTTCTTTCTTTCTTCTTTTTATGCCTAGGTGTTTTCTTTTCTTTTTTTCCATCCTGCATTCAGTGATTCCGTAGGTTCGTCTTTTCTTCTTTCTTTCTTTCTTTCTTTCTTTCTTTCTTTCTTCTTTTTATGCCTAGGTGTTTTCTTTTCTTTTCTTCTATCCTGCATTCAGTGATTCCGTAGGTTCGTCTTTCTTTCTTTCTTTCTTTCTTTCTTTCTTTCTTTCTTTCTTTCTTTCTTCTTTTTATGCCTTGGTGTTTTCTTTTCTTTTCTTCTATCCTGCATTCAGTGATTCCGTAGGTTCGTCTTTCTTTCTTTCTTTCTTTCTTTTTTCTTTCTTTCTTTCTTTCTTCTTTTTTATGCCTAGGTGTTTTCTTTTCTTTTCTTCTATCCTGCATTCATTGATTCCGTAGGTTCGTCTTTCTTTCTTTCTTTCTTTTCTTTCTTTTTCTTTCTTTCTTTCTTTCTTTCTTTCTTCTTTTTATGCCTTGGTGTTTTCTTTTCTTTTCTTCTATCCTGCATTCAGTGATTCCGTAGGTTCGTCTTTCTTTCTTTCTTTCTTTCTTTCTTTCTTTCTTTCTTTCTTCTTTTTATGCCTAGGTGTTTTCTTTTCTTTTCTTCTATCCTGCATTCAGTGATTCCGTAGGTTCGTCTTTCTTTCTTTCTTTCTTTCTTTCTTTCTTTCTTTCTTTCTTTCTTTCTTTCTTTCTTCTTTTTATGCCTTGGTGTTTTCTTTTCTTTTCTTCTATCCTGCATTCAGTGATTCCGTAGGTTCGTCTTTCTTTCTTTCTTTCTTTCTTTCTTTCTTTCTTTCTTTCTTTCTTTCTTTTTTTATGCCTAGGTGTTTTCTTTTCTTTCTTCTATCCTGCATTCAGTGATTCCGTAGGTTCGTCTTTCTTTCTTTCTTTCTTTCTTTCTTTCTTTCTTTCTTTCTTTCTTTCTTCTTTTTATGCCTTGGTGTTTTTCTTTTCTTTTCTTCTATCCTGCATTCAGTGATTCCGTAGGTTCGTCTTTCTTTCTTTCTTTCTTTTCTTTCTTTCTTTCTTTCTTTCTTCTTTTTTATGCCTAGGTGTTTTCTTTTCTTTTCTTCTATCCTGCATTGAGTGATTCCGTAGGTTCGTCTTTCTTTCTTTCTTTCTTTCTTTCTTTCTTTCTTTCTTTTCTTTTTCTTTCTTTCTTCTTTTTTTATGCCTTGGTGTTTTCTTTTCTTTTCTTCCATCCTGCATTCAGTGATTCCGTAGGTTCGTCTTTCTTTCTTTCTTTCTTTCTTTCTTTCTTTCTTCTTTTTTATGCCTAGGTGTTTTCTTTTCTTTTCTTCTATCCTGCATTCAGTGATTCCGTAGGTTCGTCTTTCTTTCTTTCTTTCTTTCTTTCTTTCTTTCTTTCTTTTCTTTCTTTCTTTCTTTCTTTCTTCTTTTTTATGCCTTGGTGTTTTCTTTTTCTTTCTTCTATCCTGCATTCAGTGATTCCGTAGGTTCGTCTTTCTTTCTTTCTTTCTTTTCTTTTTCTTTTCTTTCTTTCTTTCTTTCTTCTTTTTATGCCTTGGTGTTTTCTTTTCTTTTCTTCTATCCTGCATTCAGTGATTCCGTAGGTTCGTCTTTCTTTCTTTCTTTCTTTCTTTCTTTCTTTCTTTCTTTCTTTCTTTCTTTTTCCTTTGTTTGTTGTTGTCTTATCTGTAGTTTTCATTTTTACAAGCTTTCTTTCTTTCTTCTCTCAATTTGTGTATTTTTCATTTATGTTTCTCTCTCTCTCTCGTTCTCTCTCTCTTTTAATTTTTACTTGATTTCTCTCACCCTGATTATTTTTACCTTTTACTAATTTGTTTTTCTTTCTCTTTTTCTATCCTATTTTCTTTCTTTCTTTTTTTTATCTTTCTTTCTCTGTGATTTTTTTCTTTCTTTTGTTCTTATGTGTTTCTTTCTTTACATATTTTTCTAATTTCAATGTCTGTAGTTTTCCTTTTAACTAGATTTATCTCTGCAGTTTTCATTATGTCTCTTCATTTTTCTTTCCCTTTTTGTTTGGTTTTGTTTCTGTCTCATTAATTATCCTTTATTTCTTGGCTTTTTTTTTTACTTTTTTCTCTCTTTCTTTTGTAATTTTTCTTTCTTTTTTTCTTTCTTTCTTTCTTTTCTTGTCTCAGTCTGGACAGTTTTCCGTTAGCTACTTTCCTTACTCTCTTTTTCTATCGTTTTCTTTCTTTCTTTCTTTCTTTCTTTCTTTCTTTCTTTCTTTCGTTCTCTCTTTCTTTCTTTCTTTCTTTCTTTGTAATGAAATGATCTCCCTTTCATTACATATCAACTGTTTCTCTTTCTTTCTTTCTTTCTTTCTTTATTTCTTTCTTTTTTTCTTTCTTTTGTTCTTAACTGTTGTTTTATTTGTACTTCCCTTTCTTCCGTTCTTCTTTCCTTCCTTTATTCATTTTTTTCGAATTTCAATAAATGTAGTCTTGCATTTAACAAGATTTATTTCTTTAGAATTCTATATTTCTCTGATTTTTTCTTTCTTTTTTAGTTTGGGTTTGATTCTTTCTCTCCAATTTTCCATTTTTTCTCTGAATTTTTCTTTCTTTTTTTCTTTCTTTCTTCCTTTTTCTTGTCTCAGTCTGTGCAGTTTTCCTCTAACTAGATTTCTTATTTCTCTCTCACTTTCTTTTTTTTTCTTTTTCCTCGCCTTTTTAAGACACTGTTAGATTATGATCAGAATATAAATACAAGCGTTCTGAATATATTTCAATTTAAAGTCTATTATACGTACAACTAGTATATATATCTATATATGTGTGTGTATACATATATATGTGTGTGTTCGTGTGCATGTATATATATATACACACAAACACACATACATACACACACACACACATATATATATATATATATCTATATATATATATATATATATATCGAATGATCACAAATACACATCAGTATATGTAGAATTTCTAATATAAGATTTATATCTATAGGTCGTGGGACCCATATTAATAAATAGTATATCATATTTAAGCGTTAACACAGTCATGTGCTTTCTGACTGAACAGATTGAAAAACATTTCTATGATTCGTGCGCCTTTTGATGCAGTAGAGAAGGACATAATTTATGGCATCTCTGTAGACGCCCTCGGTGACCTTAGGGCCACTGCCTGATGTTTTACTGCTTTCATTTCCATATCAAGTACGTTTTTAGAGGATGTTAATTCCAGGCTTATTCTTACAGACTTATTACCAACGAAACGTAAAGAGCCCAGTCTATCCCGCCCCGCATGACGACAAACTATATCCGGCAGCATATGAGGATCGTGGAACCACCTCTTAACTGTTACTAATCCTAGGTCCGCCATAAGCCGTGGTGGCAGAACCTGTTAGGACAACAGTTATGGGGAAATAAAAACACCTCCCCAGCCACCAAATATTCAACAGTTCATTTTTATAATACAATTTCCAGCAATATATTTCTGTAGTAAAAATAACCAGCAATTTCTCTAAAATTACCAACAATACATTTTATCTACAGGCTATACTGCGTGTAACAGGAAAATTGTCCAAATCGTGTAACAGTAAGATTGTCCAATTGTTAGATTAATCTTTGAATTGTTGTATCATGGAAATGAATAACGCTATCTTACTGGAATTCTCCGAGGTTTTTATACCACTACTGGACTCTACTTTGAGCAATAAGAATCTATAATTAGAGGCCAAGCTTAACAGAAAAATCGTGATGGCATCAATCATAAACGACAATGAGAAGTTATTCATTAAATAATCATAGCTAAGGATGGGGAGCTCATGAAGCATTGAAATAAAGTTCAAGTTCAAATATATATATATATATATATATATATATATATATATATATATATATATATATATTTATATTTGAACTCTATTTCAATTCCTTTTATTGTACATTTTTCTGTGTTCATTTTAAATCTCCCGTTGAAGCTTGAAGGGCGGGAGCGAAAGCGGTTGCTTCACCCGTTTTTTTTTTTTAATATGTCTCGTAATATTATGTTTTATACTTTTATTTCAATCATTAAATTTTGTACCTTCATTCTTGGAGTAACAATTTGCCTGACAAGTTTCACGTACGATTACATTTTTAAGTTTGTTTTTTTTTTTACAGTTTTTTGACAGTGGACTGTCATGGCCGAAACTCCTCCCTCACGTGCCAAACGTTTTATAGATTGATTTGGATCTTTTCTAATTGATCTCTTTAGCTCTAATTTGAAATGGTGATCCCTCTTCCTGTTGTGACCCCCTGATGCAGTTTTCCTTTCTACTGTTCCCTCTTTTTTAAACTTATTCACCTTTTTCTTGAACTGTCTTTGAAGATGGAAGCCAGAGTATGTATGTTCGTATCATTGCCGAAGGCCTGAATGATTTTTCCTCTCATCATTGCTCAATTGAGAAGACAGCGGGTCTGAAACAAAACGATTTTAACCTGTTCTTTTTCTAGCTGAATAACTCAATGTGGTTTACAGTGTTTCTTACGAAAAATGGTGTAAAGATGGCTAAATATCTTATCTAAAATCCTGGAGAAAAGAAACTCAATTTTTTTAGTGTCTTTTTTTTTTTAAATATTAGACATTTTGAGGGGATAGAGAATTATAAACCAACACGATTTGGACAATTTTGCTGTTACATTTGTTATATTTGGAGATTCTTGTTAAAATCCAAAGAAGAATTTCCAGTGTCATTGGTCCTGACCTAGCGCCTTCCTTTCTGTACCTTTCCCATCGCCATAATGTAACTTCCCTCTTCATTTTCGATAAATGCTTTCATGGTAATTGTTCTGAAGAACTTTCCTCTGTTGCACGGAGACTATGAATTTAAGCGCAATAATAGACTGGCAGCAAGACATCATAATTCTACAGTTGAAATGGCTCGATGTAAACATAAGTTCTATGCTGTTTCTTTTCTCGGATTTCTTGGTCGTGGAACTCTCTTCCGGATTCTTGCTTCCCAGAAAACGTTAGTCTTCAAAGATTTCAAATCAATGTCAGTCATTATTGTCTGTCTTCTTAATTCTGTTCTCGCTCCTTAATAGTACATTTTCCACATATTCTTTCACACTTGTTAACCCTTTTTTGTGTCTTAGTTGCTTTATTACCTTGTTTGGAGTTTTTAAAAAGATACCTGGTGATATACGTGAAATTATGTAAATTAACGTATATCAAGGTGAGCTGAATG